TCTATCGCACATTGCAACCCTAACAATTTGACAATTATGTATCTTGAAAATGATATTTTAGTAGAAGAAAATGAAGTTGTAGGTGTGACATGCATGTTGTTGGTGGCTTCCAATGTTCATGTATGTGTTGCGAACCAACTATCCAAAGCAACACATACGGAACATCAACTAGATGTAGCGGGCATAGCTCCATCATGTGGTCCATCAACGGGGATCAGGTAATGCCATGACATATATGTTTATCATGTATTTCATTATTTATCGTTAATACTTATTGAATCTTTTGAACTTCCTTTTTCAGCCGCCCCATTCAACCACTGCCCGTCCCCATTGTCGAAAATGTAATACATACATATGATGCAGACTCTAAGAGTGCGAGACACATCGGACCTAATCCTAATGATATGCATCTATTGGAATCTCCATGCAGTTCAGTCTACTCGCATATTCAACTTTACGTAGGACAAGAATGCGAGGATGTCAGGCTACTCCATAATCATTCAATAGATTATTGCATATATTAAAATTTTATTATGAGGTACATGAAGAATGACTAAGATCGTTTAGTTGCGATCCGTACTGAGGAGGAGTGCAAATAGAAAGTGCGATGCTCTAGAATTTCCACCACAAAGTATTTTAAGGTGAGAGAGTTGATAGATAACCACACTTGTATGGGTCCAATCGGAAAGGCTCACTAGCCATTAGCTCGAAGCCATTGGGTAGCAAGGAAAATTAAACCTTGGTTAACTGACCAGATAAATATGAGATACAAAGATATTATGAATGACGTTCAACGCGAACATGATATGATGTTGTCATAAATGCAAGCATGGAGAGGGAAAGTGGCAACGACATAAATGATTCTGAAGTCACATAAGCAGTCATGTATAGAACTACCCTTATATATGAAGAAGCTACGAGTCACCAACCCCCAAACTGTAGGCTACATATCTCCATATCGTGACCATAGATTCAAATGGAGTGAGAGAGGGGCCTGAGAGCAGGGGAGGGTTTCTGCAGAGAGAGAGAGAGAGAAAGAGTGACAAAAATGAGTGAAGAAAAATGAATCGAAGGTATAAGTAAGGCAATCTGATGTTCGAAATGTTGGACCGAGGCTAGACTGGTAAAAAAAATCATTTAACTTAACGGGGAAAGGGGACAAGCGGACATAAAGGGGTTAAGAGTAGTCTGATGTTAGGAACATCAGACCGGGGGCAAAGCTGTCAAAAAAAAAAGGAATTCTGTCCTTCTTGGTAATATCGGCCTATTTTTGGGCCAAACGGTTATAATGGACCGTTTTCTAATCTGTACGTAAATTTTCCCAAATTATTATGATGCTGGAAATTAGGAACAACGCTCTACTCAAGTTCGCAAAGAAAAGGAGAAAAAAGTAGGGGTGGCAACAGGTCGGGTACTAGTTTGGTCTGAGTGGACCCGGACCTAGACCCGATTAATATTTAGGTCCATGTTTTGGACCATGACTCAAGTAGTGTTCTGGTCCAAGTTTTGAATTTGGATATGACCGGCCGGGTCCAAATGTTGGACTCGTGCCTAGACCATGTCGTCCGGGTCCGGGTCTCGGTCCATTGCCACCCCTTAGAAAGAAGTAGGTCTTATTTGAAGCCATGGGTAGGAAGGAGAGTCATCCATATGCGAGTTCCAGAAATGACACGTGGCAAACACCCATGTTGTTCCGAACAATGTGACCACGAGGAAAAGGCATTCATGGTTGCGATACCACAATTTCCAAAGTAAAAAGCAAAATGTATGGAAAAATATCAATTGAAAATCGTTGAGGTGATCCAATATGCCCCTTAAAGTTGGTAGTGCTTACTCTTTTAGTTTTATTCACTTAAGTGCCTCTTTAAAAATTAGAGTAAAAAATATGAAATTCTTTATTCAAGATTGAAAAACTGGAACTCAAATAGTGTTTCAGTCCAAGTTTTGAATCTGGATTGGACCGGGCGGGTCCAAATGTTAGACTCGTGCCTAGACCATGTCGTCCGGGTCCGAGTCTGGGTCCATTGCTACCCCTTAGAAAGAAGTAGGTCTTATTTGAAGCCATGGGTAGGAAAGAGAGTCATTCAGATGCGAGTCCAGAAATGACACGTGGCAAACACCCATGTTGTTCGTAACAATGTGACCATGAGGTAAAGCATATCTGGTTGCGATACCACAATTTCCAAAGTAAAAAGCAAAATGTATGGAAAAATATCAATTGAAAATCGTTGAGGTGATCCAATATGCCCCTTAAAGTTGGTAGTGCTTATTATTTTAATTTTTTTCACTGAAGTGCCTCTTTAAAAATTAGAGTAAAAAATATCAAATTGTCTTTATTCAAGATTGAAAAACTTGAACAAATTAGGGATTTTAGTAACTTTGTCCGAACCAAATAATGAAATTATTCATGACCCTTATTCCTGAATAAAGGCAAGATATTTTTAAGGAGGCACATGAGCTAAATGAAATTAAAAATAAAAAAATCAAACCTCTAGTGCTAATTAGGATCCAATAAGTTAGTTTCATTTTTATCCGATTTTCTTCTCTCCCTCCGATCACCCCTAGAGCGAAGCAAAGCAAATCAATCCCTTGCTGAAATAAAAAGTTACCCTTACACACACATATGGCTTTCTCTGCTATCCAAATAATGAAATTTCAAAAAATTATAACTCATGGTATTCATAATTTTCTAAGAAATGCCTTTTATTTTAATTTTTTTTTTGCAATAAGTGCCAATTATAATTAAATTTTGTTCTCTTAAAATACACCTAAAGGCCTCCCCAAATCTTATGATGAACCAAAGTGCATCTCTTTTATGTCAAAACTCTAGAATGAAAAAAAACGTTTCGAGGCGAATATGATAACATTGACGAGGCGAATATGATAACATTGAATAGATTTATAGAATAGCTTATCATTTATTTTGTAATTTTCAGGAATACTTTTATCAAAACCATTTTCCTCGACACAGTACAGGTACATACACACTCTACAATTAATGCATCGTTGCAAACTTCGCGGGTCTCCTCTCCTTCTTCTGATGCTTTGATTCCATAGTGTGTAAGCACTCGTACACTCTGCAAGGCAATGGCACCCACCATTCAGAGAGTTTATCTGGTTTAGGTAAAGAACTCGCTTCTTACGTTTGGGGTGTGATTATCTAGCTAGGAATGATACATGCAGAGGTAGACTTGATCAATTCTGGGAAAGTATCCATAGCCGCCTAGTCACCCTCCCAAAACTCCCCCTTTCACACTTTTTATTCTTTTATTTTTTTTTTCAAGATTATCTAGTATTCTTTCAGGTCCCTAGATCAGTGATAAGACGATACAACGTAGATCTATAAGACGATACAACGTAGATTTAAACCCCCCATGTTATTATTTTTCCACATCACCATCATGGATGGATCTAGGTAAGTGATAAGACGATACAACATAGATCTATAGGGCAGACAATCCACCACATACATGGGTTGTTTTCTTTTTTAGGCAGTTAGTGAGAACAGGTCTCCTATTTATAGTAAAAATGAAACTCAATACATCATGTTGTAGCACCTTGTCGCCTTGACCACCAAACATTGACCCATTCCTATATGGTTTTGAAGCGATAATAATAATAGTAATAATAATAATAATAATAATAATAATAATAATAATAATAATAATAATAATAATAATAATAATAATAATAATAATAATAATAATAACAATAAAAATAAATAAATATTGTTCATACCACCTTTCATTCTAAAATTTGTTCAAATCAAGCAGATTTATAAATATATAAAAATAAAAAAATGTATTAAATATTTCTTATTTTCCATATCGATGGTTTTCCCATATCGATGCATTTTGAGATACATCTTGACTCTACAATATATGGCGTTTACCTTCTTTGAACTTTTTCATATTTATCCTTTTTTAAATGCTACAATGGCTTTTCAAATTTGTCACGTAAATTAACGGGTTGGTGCGCGTTCCATCGTACGATATTTGTAATAGCGACAAACATGCCCCGACCTAAGGCATCTTCCAACTTCCAATCTCACAATGGGTGTGACTACTAAATGCAAGGGTGGAAGACCAACTTGAACGAGACAAATAACAACTCCATGAAATGCACGCACGCTGCTCCTGACACGGGTGACACGGCCGGCGGGATCTTCAACCCCGTGCATCTGCACTATAAAACCCGCTCCAAAATTAAGAAAGAAAGGCATCAAATTTCACAGGAAACAGAAAACATAGAGTGAAAAATCGAACTTTTCCGGCCCCTCTGCAAATTTTCTGATAAAATCCGGCCATGTCGTCGATTTCCGGCCTCTTTTCATCTTCTTCGACCTTCATCTCTTCCCCTAATTCCCTTCGGAATTCCCCAAAAAATCAAAGAGATTTGATCGGAATTTCAAAGCTATTTGGCCGGAGCTCAGGCAATCACCATGAATTCCGGAGATTTACACCCCAAGCAGTGGCTCGAGAGGTCTCTGCGGAATCTCTAATTTCAGAGGCTCTGAAGAAGAAAGCGGTGAAGGGGCTGGAAAAGGATCCCTATGCTCTTTGGCATCGATATGTGGACTGGCTTTATCAGCATAAGGAGCTAGGGATTTTTCTCGACGTTAGTCGAATAGGGTTTACGGATGAGTTTTTCGAAAGCATGACTCCTAGATTTGAAGCAGCTTTCAAGGCCATGGATGAGCTCGAGAGAGGAGCAATTGCTAACCCTGATGAGGGGCGAATGGTTGGCCACTACTGGCTTAGAAGTTCTCACCTTGCTCCTACTGCGTTTCTTAGGCAACAGATTGATACCACGCTTGAGGCCATTTGTAGGTTTTCGGAAGATGTTACAAGGGGAAAGGTCAGTTTTTTGTACTTCAACTTGTTATTAGTTTTTTCGTGATGGAGAGTGTTGGATAAATATGGGATTATTAGGGTTTATGTGCGTGAGTAGACTGAGATTGGTGGATGGAGTGGATGAAACTGTTATGGTATGAGAAGCAGTTTGAAAAAATAAATGAGACAGTAAGTTGATTTTGGATATGTACTCTAGGGTATGGAATGTTTTTGCCTTTTGGATATGTACCCTAGGGTATGGAATGTTTTTGGCTTTTGGAGTATATTCTCGGTATGGTTTAGAACTTCGGATAAACCTTATATAGTGCCATGAAGTACATGAGGAAAGAAGACGGAAACATTATTGAATTCTTTGTTTTTCCTAGGTTTTATCTATTTTAGGATTGCATCAACGGAATGATTCCCTCTATTCATTTTGATGTTTAGAAGGATGTCCCCCAGTCATCTATATATTACATTTGCATCCCTTTTTCTTATTCCGTAAAGTAAGGGCTGATCCTTCCCTACCTTGTCACTCTGGTGGAAGCCACATATCCAGATAATCGCTCATTGGGAGCTGCTTTCACTCGAATTGGACCTATCTTGTATCATCATTCCATGATGACTCCGGCAGAAAAGTTTGATTACATTGCCAAAGAGTGGTACTTGGAGACTGATATTCAACATGTTGATTCCCTTACTCCAGCTCAAGCTCGTTTAGCTGGGCATACCTTTCTTCCAGAGCAGTCTGATCTGATACATCATCTGTCTTCCACCTCTTCTTGGTGGTGTGATTGAAAATGGCATTCTCGAAAACGTCTTTGAACTCTGTTTCTCACATGTATCAATTACTACATTCCCCCCTCCTCCTGATTTAGCTTTTACAAACTCATGTAGCCATAGACTTCGTGTCATATTTTGTTAATGATTATCATGACTTTTGTTTTGGTTACGAATTTATGTGGAGATATCTATCGCAGATGTATAGGCATCATAGAATTGGTCTAAGAAGTTTGAGGACCTTAACCTGTCCCAAACCCGGGTAAAATTGTGTTATGTAGGCAGCCAACGTAATACTTAGCCAAAACTTTTCATAAATCTGAAATCTGTGATATCTGCTTATTTTGGGGTGTTCTTGGCCTCACTGACGGTATGATCCTTAATTGAGCAGAATGGCAGATCAAGATTCATGTACCCCAAATAGTTGGGAAAAGGCTTTGACAACAACGACGACGACGATGATGATAGCATCACATAATTATTGATAAATGTGAACTCTTTCCCAAAATTCAAACTATGGATCATATTTGCATCCAAATCATCTTTTCTCACAAAATATTAAAATGTGTGTGATATTATTAAATAATTGAAGTTCCTTCATCGCCCAAGATAGCAAATTGAAGTTCTTTAGTTGTCAAATTACTTGTATAGTCTCATTTTTACTTATCTTATGCAGTGTAGTCATTCTATTTCTGGTCTGTTGTTTTGAAGGAGAACAGATAAAGCCCCCATCATCTCCAGCTGGTCGCTTTACCCAAGTGCTCTCTGTTGGAATTGGAGGATCAGCACTAGGACCACAATTTGTTGCAGAGGCATTGGCTCCAGATAATCCGCCTCTTAAGGTGCGCTAAATACACTGTTTTTAATTTTATTTAGGTTTTTATAACTGATTTTAATTTTATTAAATTATTGTTCTTCCTCTAAATGATGTATAATAATTGAGGATGCTTCTCTTCGAGACACTGTGGTTTATTCTTAATCTACTTTTGGTTGGTTTTGTGCTGAGTCTTCCTTTTTTTAATCTGTTATTGATGTTGATTTTACGGGTTCTCCTTTCTTTCATTTCAATTTGGATGACCTCATCTCATACTTTACTCTCAAGTCTCTACTTCTTTTATGATTGTTACCACTATAGATTATTTTATTATAGATTACATATGTCCTAGATTTCATTATTGGATAAGTGACGTTTGTTTAGTTATGTAAAATCTTATTGGGGTGGCGGATGGAAATCTGATAATAATGCTTATTTGAGGATGTTTTCTTTTCTTAGAGACCTGGCAACCTCATTGACATCCTGTAGTACATGACAGAAGTATATGTTAATTGGTTTACCGATCTAAAGAAACTCTTGTTATAGTTTCAGTATTCTTCTGTTGGGAATAGTGTCTGTTCTCTCATCCATCTAAATAAACTTTGAGGGGCCCCAACTTCTGTTCGGAGATTATGCACATCCAAGTCAACAATCCTCTGTCCATGCCTTACTGGGATAAGTCCTTTGTAGACCACTAGGATTTAGCCTGCTATTTTCTTGATAAATAAGGGCCCATAGAGCTGCCGTTGGAGCTACGCTTTAACATCTTAATCGCAGTTTATACTGCTGGACTATGTGTTTGGGCCCCTCTTGCTTGACATGTGCTAGTGAATTACACTCCCTAATCGAGTCATTTCCTTTATGCCCCTGGACTTGTACTTTATCGTTTATATCTAATTTTTGTATTAAATGTGTGTAGTGCAACTAGCAGGACATGGATTTATACAAAAGAAAAAAAAAAGGAAAAAAGAACATGGGTACCGTATTTTGAGGGAAATAAATCTCAGGCACTAAGAGACATCCTTGATGCTCCATTGCAAGCCATGACGCCAACCACGTTAATGGCATCCATATATGCGCACGTAAGGAGATATCTGAAGAGTTGGCTAACTGTCAAGTCTCCTCAGCCATGCATAAAGACGTGTTTCGAAAAGGCCATGAGGGGTTCCTCGGCAATGCACAAACTTTGCCTAGTAGGCTTGGTTTATTCACATCACTTGGACATCTCTTATGTGAGGCATTGAATCAAGAAGAAGTTGAAGGTGGTGCTGGGACGAGTCTCACACATATGAACATGGTACATCTGCTTTTTGATTTCTGGGACACCAGCGACCTTGACTTGTCTTTAGAATGAACATCTAGGTTGTGGTGGTCAATATTGCATCATGGGAGTTGTTTGGAAGAGTTAGTGGCAGGTGGAGGTTTTCCATTGGTGGAGAGGCTTTGGTGTGATCTAGCTTTAGAGTCCTATAACAAGGTTTCCCTGTGATTGATACAGGAATTGTTTGGGGAGTTCAAAGCAGGTACAAATTCTTGGTGTGGAGCATGCTAGGTTTTCCCAGGCTAACGGTAGTTTTTGACATAGAGCTTGATGTGTTGGAGTTGGATGCTATTATCTTCCTAGTGCAAGATAGAGTATCAGGGTCTGCTAGATATAGGGCTGGAGACAAATACATGGTCTAAGGAGAACTTGGGTCAAATAGGAGAGAATAGAGCTCAATCCTGGTCCCAGATGAAAGTGAAGCAAGCACCCTTGCATGAGGAGGTGAAGATGATTTATCAACAGTTCCCCATGGTTAGAATGAAATGGTTGAGTCGAACAGGGCAGATCTGAACTCTGAAGTTTGAACAGTGAAATTTTGACAAGAAGAATCCAATAATGCGTGAAGAAACAACAGCTTGGGGCCAGCATGTAGTTACTGTAAAAGAGCTGTTGAAGTTTGTTTGTCACAAAGGGCAACTGAGGAGACAGCGAGGCATTGGGGGATTGAAAAGAGGAGCCGTTCAACCATCAGAAGTGGTGAAGATCACTGAGAAGCTATTTTCCTATTTCTATTTGTTTGACAGGAATAGGATAATCATAGTAGTAAAGAACTGCTGGGAAAGCGCCTAGGTGCCTATGTTGTGAGGACATGGACATGAGTGTCATTGTGTGACATGGACAGGATGTTCGAGATGTCATCTGAATACTGGTGGGCCACCATGACACATTTGTATAGTGCTAGGCTGTAAGCATATGTACCTACATGTGTATTTATTTATTGGGGTATGCAATAATTAAATAGTAAAAATACATGTGTCCGACTTGCAGATACTTGTAGCCAAGAAAAAAAAAGGAAAACAAAAAAGGTACAGCCACATTTAGTGAGATTTCCTAGATACCTACATTCCTGATAACATGTTTAAATCATGGGCATAATTAGCTGGAACATGGACTTGTGTATCTATGGTTAACATGCAGAGCCTATCTGTTTCACATGTAAAAAATATGAGACAAGCCTGGCCATCTTGGCAGAAATATCAGCTGGAGTTTCTGAAGTGTCAACATGTATCATGTATGGTGCCGGTGTCGGACACTCCAAAATGTGATCGCCAGATATGTTGCATAGGATACCACTAATAGGGAGGCAGATTGGTAAAGCTTTAATAGTCCTTTCCAAGCTCTCATGCTGCGGGAGGGAGGGAAGATTTTGGGACTAAGGAGGCTCTACAGTCCTCAAAATGAAAGGGATGAGGTTTGGGAGGTTTGGGAAGATCCTTGAAGGGATAAAAGGGAGGTATGAGTAGGACATCTGCAAGTCAGGGTCTGGGGGATACACAGATGACTTTTGGATAGGAGATTGTTAAGTTTGTTTCTGTAGAATTTATCACGAGGGTTCTATCAATTGTTAGTGTTGTATGGAGGAGCATTCATTATATCCTCTTCAAGAGTGGATATTATTGTAGTTCTGTATATATGACTTCATATGGATTGCATCTGGTCCAAAAGGGCCCAATTTACCTGTTCTTGATAACGGCATCAAAGGCGTTACCAAAGGGACGTAAACCATACATATTGTACCCCAATTTGGAGAACTGTAGGCTTATGCGGGGCAAAGTTTTGTCCTAGTACAGATTATCCAGGAGAAAGTTTTTGCCTAGTGCAGATCCTGAGCTTGGTGTTGAATAAAATATCTTCGCACTCAAGAACCGATCATGATCATCATCATCAGAGCTTTTTCCAGTTTGACGGACTTAGCAGCCAATTATTTGGAGGGAAAGACTTGGCTTTTAGCCTGATTCTTTTGTTGTGAGTCATTACGTGTATTTTGGGGTTTGGGATACTGTGTGCTTAATTTTTACTAACCTCTTAGCTAGAAACTGTAAACCTGCATATATCATCTATCTTGTGTGTTCCCAAGCTTCTTGACTTCTTGCTTAACGTTTTCTTAAACTCTAGAAGCTGGTCATGTGTCTTACCTGATGTCCTTGCTTGGCTGACTATGTCTATAACTTGTAACACATGGCAGATAAGATTTATTGACAATACAGATCCAGCTGGAATTGATCATCAGATTGCACAGCTTGGACCTGAGCTGGCTTCTACCCTTGTTGTTGTGATTTCAAAGGTTTGAATTGTTTTTTCTTCTTTTAATTTGTACCTGATTTTAAAGGTCTACAAATTTATGAACACTTGAATGTATTGCTCATGAATGGTCCTGACTTATCTAGACTTCCATCTGGTCAGAGTGGAGGCACTCCAGAAACTAGGAATGGGTTGTTGGAAGTGCAGAAGGCCTTTCGCGAAGCTGGCCTGGACTTCTCGAAACAGGTTCTGATTTTAGGTTTTCCATTTCTGCTTTTTGTTTCCTTCGTAACATCAGCTGCTTTGCCATTCTTCTTATTTTACCTGCACACACATGGAATCTTAAGTTTGTTTTAGTCTAGCTGAATGTAGGTTGGATATGAAATTGTTACCGAGGCCTTAACTTCCTTTCTATTATGATCTCACTCATTCTTTTGACGACTCCCTAATATGCTGTACTGTTTCTGTCATCCTATTGGGAAACCTTTTCTTCCCATGCTGTCTTGCATGACTCGCTGTCGAGCATTACTACTCATATTTGGAATTTCTTTTCCCATCATCTATGTTTACAGTTCTTGAAGTTTGTGTGTCCGAGCAGCAGCCTTTGGTGTGCTGATGTTGGTTAATAGTTCTTTATAAAGCAATCCCTAGTTGTTCCCATATCAAAATTTCAGGATATTGCTCTCAGTAATGTGCTTACAGCTATGCAATGCAGTTACTTATTGGCTCGCAATTTAGCTATCATAGAGTTTTCATGGTATATGTTTCCTCTAGTAATATCCATTGATTAACATGAATGCTGGATTTGGAATCTGCCATGGGTCTTCATTGTTGTCTGATATTGCAAGTAAAATATTGTTTCTTGAAGAACATCTTATTCCTGCCTTTGACACATGTTCTTAATAAATCATTAATATTAAATCTAAACAATGAAACTTCACCTGAAACAAATTTAAGAGACCACTCTTTGTTCTTGTACTAGTTTGACATTTTGGACAATTTACATGAAGTTGGAATCACAGACATTGCATTTGTGAAATTGACACATTAAGCAGTTCTGCATTTGATCAATGCAACATTTAATGAATTACTCCAATGCTGTGTGCTTCTTGTTTGTTTCAAATGCAAAGTTTGTGAACTGTGGCACTTATTGACATGCTGCAGTTCTTGGTTCATGTTGACCGAAGTGATTGGTTACAATTTGCTATGTACATGGTATCTAGGTTGTAATATTGGTCAGCTGCATGAGTCAACAGTCAAATGACAACTACAGTGGTCTTAGTACCCTGATGGTTCCTGGAAGGTTACTTTTAGTTTCCAGGTTGTTAAGCTGGGCCATAGAATTTCATAACATTCTTTTAGCCTCGATCCTTTGCTTTTGTGTATCTCTCCTTTGATTCGATATAATGAGTTGATATGGTTTCTTGATAAGAGTTTAATGAACCATTTCATACAGACTTTTGGAAATTCCAATTATTTACTCCATGCAAATGCAGTTTCATAGTTAATGAAAATTAGCCCATGCTTTCTATTCATAGTGGTAACTGGACTTAGTTTATAATTGCAATGGGCAGTAAATTTGGTACCAATCTCTTCCTTGTTCTCATCACAAGAGAAAAGTATTTTCTCTACAACTCACCATAAGGATGAATTTAGATGTAATTATGAAATCACAATGCACTCCTTCATTTTGCTGTTAGAAATCTTCCAACAAGGACATAGATAGATGGTGACCTTTTGGACATCGGTTAACTCTGATGGGAGCTCCAAGGGAAAACCTGGTCAAGGTGGGATTGCAGGACATTTGAGATATGTGATAAACTCTACTCTCCTTCTTATGGAGGTTAGAATGGTGTGATAAAGCACTTATTGAAGCAAGGGTTCCAATTGTGGTTCCCAAACTTGTGCCCATTGTGGAGGATGGTAGCTTTAATGTTATTAGGTTGACTAGAGGGGATGCTCCCCTCCTTGTCATTAGGTGATGATCTTTGACAAGCTTGAGGATTGAGGTGTATCCTCACCTAGTAGCAGTCCACCATGCTTTGAGGGATGCTGATAGCGCCACAGATGCACAAGCTAATGGAGATGTTGAGCAAAACGATTCCATGAAATTTGCATGTCATCGATATGCTACCTTGGCATCTCCAAAGCTTTCGCTTAGCCTATTTGTAACCTTTCTCAAGTTTAATATTTGTTGGTTGATCCAAAAAAATAACAACTTTTTCTTTTTGGGTAGGTCTGCAGAGGTATGTGAACCAGGGATGGCATTGCAATTGCCAACACCACAGCTAATCAAGCCAGGTGCCAAGTCCCAAACTAAGAGAAAGGAACTACAGTAATATCTGGAGAGATTTATCTTGTTCAGAAATTCCTTACATCTTTATCAAAGATTGGAATTTATGCTTTGCTGTAAATATAGGTTTACAGAAAATATGCATTATAAATTTGTACATAATATACAAGAAAAACGTAAGTTTATGGAGCATTACTTGAAGAAGTAATTTTAAGCTCTATCTTTTTTCATTCTCTCCTTTTCTAGTACCTTTTTTATTCATTTAAATTTTGGAGAATTGACCGAAAACGGGAACAATGAGAACTTCACATAAAGTTACCCCACTGAGAAATTACTGAGAACCTAAGTTGTCATAGCAATATTATCTGCCATGATATTTGAGTTTCTGGGGCCTGAGAAGTTTTGCCAAGTTTAGTCCATCCATAATTAGGCACATCTATTTGGTAAAAAAATATATACTAATTCCCTTATCTAAGCCAATGTATGATAATGAACCTTTGGGCTCCTTTAGCTTATTTTTTTGGAAGTTCCGACTTCTATTTAAGATGCTTTATGTTGTGATATATTCTAAGTAGTGGATTCTTTTAAGTTGGACTTCTTGTTCAGGGTGTAGCTATTACACAAGAAAATTCTTTATTGGATAATACAGCAAGAATTGAAGGATGGCTTGCTAGGTTTCCAATGTTCGACTGGGTTGGAGGCAGAACCTCCGAAATGTCTGCAGTTGGTTTACTTGCAGCAGCACTCCAGGTATGCTAATGTGGTAGCTTAATATGAGCTCCCATTATATTCCTCCCAGACATCCATACTAATTTATTAACGTATTATTTTTTAGGGAATTGACATCAGAGAACTGCTTGCTGGTGCAGCCCTGATGGATGAGGCGACTCGAACTCCTGTGGTAAAATAGCATTGCCAGATTGTTATTAATTTTTCCTTTTACTTTATTTTCTATGTTAGTGGCTTTATTCTCTATGTTAGTGACAATATCACCTTATATAGTTTGTCTAATCGATTTAGTTGCATTGCTTAAATTTGCTGTGCTTACTCTACATATCTTGTCATTCTTGTGTTCAGGTGAAAAATAATCCTGCTGCCTTACTGGCTTTATGCTGGTACTGGGCTTCTGATGGTGTGGGATCCAAGGTTTGGTTTCCCTTTGGATATATCCTTGTTCTTCTACTAGAATTGATGCTTATGATGGCTTACTATTATTATTGTTTGCTTCTCTGATCAAAATAGGATAACATGACATGAATTCTGAATCGTCTCATTGTCCTTTTTGTAGGATATGGTTGTACTTCCCTACAAAGATAGCCTTCTACTTTTTAGCAGGTATTTGCAGCAGTTGGTGATGGAGTCTCTTGGAAAGGAATATGATCTGGATGGTAATCGGGTGTGTAACTGTGTGCACATTTTTCTTAAAGTTCTACTTTGTTTTGGATGCAAATCTTCATATCTAGTTTTTTTGAGTGACATTGATGAGTTATTTTCTCATTCCCTAATGGTTGCAAACTTTAAGAAGTTTATCGACAGAATCTCAGCATAGGCATGAAAGAGTCCCCATTTCCACTCAATCTTCACTACCCGTCTTTCCTCTTTCTTTGGTTGTCATTGATTTGGAAGATCCACTTATCCTTACTAACTCTTATAATTAATCATAATTGTGACCATGACCATTAAGCATAGCATCTGTCTACTGACGTGTATCTTAGATGGTGATACGATTGTTGTTTATGATTTTAGTCCAACTTCACAATACTTTAACATGCTTTCTCAACTTCACAATAAGAACTGTCATGTTGCGAATGACTGCGTGGCTATCGTGCTCAGTGATATTAACCAATATATCGATTTCCATCCTTATGGTTTTGAATGCAGTTATATATATATATATATATATGGTTTTTTTAGGCTACTCCCTCTTCTGGCTTATTTCTTAACCAACTCAATTTTTTTGAACACTTACACCCTTATCCACAATGTCGACACTTTTTGTCTAGAGGTATTTTATGGAACTGGTCAAGTGCTAAATAGAAACTTTGGGTAGAAACAAAAACATTTATTGACTATGCTGAGGAATGACTTTACCCAAATGGGATGTTACATCATCCATGTGGAGCATCACATCATCCAAATAGAGTACTTATTGCTTTCTAACAACTAATAAAATGCCATTTTATAACAAGAATATTTATTTTGTTGCTTACTTGTTGTAATATAAAGTAAGAATGAGATGGCTCTGTCTCAGGGTGCCCGTGCCCCCTCTAGCTCCTCCTGGCCTCCTCTCTACGCTAACTACACCCAACTGCTCAAGTCTCCCTCTGTCTCCCATCATCCCCACCACCCTTGTCCAGCAGCCTCCTCCGTTCCTCCTGTTCCCTTGCGGTCTCTGCCTAACCCTACGCCCCCTGTTGCATCCGTCCCTCATTCTCACTCTCTATCTTTTTCCATTTCACCTTCCCCTTCTCCCACTCTTTCCTCTCTCTCTCTGTTTACCCTTCTCGGCCCCCTTCATTTATCTCAGGTCGACACAACCCTGCCCTGAAAGCGAAGCTCACTTCGTCCTTGGTAGGCTCCTTCCAACCTCGACGAGATGACATCTAAGGTATCGAAAAGTGGGGCAAGAGTCTCTGGGGCCAACCTGTGTTGCAGGAAACTCACTAACGGTAGAGTTCTCTTCACCTTCCCCTCATCCGAGAACGCATCCCGGGGGGTGAATTCTTCCTATGCTAGTTTCAGAGGGGCCTCCCTATTCTTTCCCCTTGGTCCCAAGAACTTGGGGCCTTCGGAATCCAGAGAGTGTAGTTGAGGGTCTTCGACATTTCTCTCCATGCGTGGACTCTGACCCATTTAAATTCATTGCCTATGCGTGCGGTTTCTTCAGCTCCATCCACTGGAAATCCATCGAACACCTTCCTATGGGCTCCATTCAACTGCTGATTGAGGTTCTTGATCCTCAATCCATCCCTTATTCACTGTGGCTTGAGTTGGAAGGTCTATATTACCGGATTCTTTTGGCTTGGCAACCAGCCTCTCCTCCTTCCTCTCGCCATGTTCGACCTCTGGAGCTTGGTTGCCAACCCCCTCCAGGGCACAGCGAGTGGACCAAGGTAATCCGCAGGCGTAAGCCCACGGCCGTCCACCACCGCATTGTAGGGCTCCCATTTCACTTCATTCTTCGTCTGAGATCGAAGCTCCTTCTTCGGCCCTCCCACCTACCCTGCTGACTGCCAGCTGTCCACTCCCTTCCTCACCTACCCTGTTCATCGCCACGTCCGTACTCGCACAAGCTCTCCCAGTAGAAGGCGACACCTGTCCTCTTCCCCTCTGACCCTCAGCTGTCTTCCTCTCTCCCCTACCCAATTTTTTCTCTCTCCTCCCTGCTTTTCATCTTACAACCCACTTGACATCGCTTCCTCCCTCTTGCTATGTACCCCACCCCTCGTCGCCTTCTCAGTTTGTCCCCCCTTTCTCTCTCCCCTGCTCCCCCCACCGGCAGGTCATCCGAGGCTACACCCTCCTCGTTGCCTGACCCCACGCCACATGGTGGTCTGGATCTTCCCCTCTTCCTGGCGAATACACCTGTCCCCTTCCCTATTTCCCCCAGACTCATGCCTCCTACTCTTCCCTTTCTTCCCTCTATCTCTAACCCTCCATTCTCCGATTGGCCCCTCCCTCCTGGTCCATCGTTGCATTCCTCTTCCGCTTCGGAGGTTCCCCCCTCTTCTCTTCAGCTCCCCAGCATTCACTTCCCTCTGCTCAACATAGGACCATCTCAGCCAGCCCTCCCTGGAGGACTCCTCCTCAGATCCTTCTCCCTCTCTTTTGCCTTTGGTGGCTAGTGCGGCCCCTCATTTAGGCCCCCCCCTTCATCACCTTCTGCTTGCATCGACCCCACACCCCTTGCCAACCCTTTAGCCCTTGACCTCCCCTCATTGGTCACCTACCCTGTGTCTACCTCCATTTCCCCTTCTCCCTTGTCTGTAACCCCACTCTTAAGGGGCAATGTGCCTCTCTTGGCATCGGTTGCTGGCCCTCTCTCTTCTCTTCCTTCAGCCCATTTGGCCCCCGTTCAACCCCCCCCCCCCCATTCTTTATTATCTTTCTTTCCCCTCCTATCCTCTGCCTCACCATGGGGATTTTTTCCTCTGCCCCCTTTTCCTTCTCACTCACCCATTCCCCCTTTTCTTGCTTGGCCCCCTGCTCCACACCCCTACCCTCCCCACTTTCCCTCCTCCCTCCTCAGTCAAGCCTTCGCCCCTGCTCCCTTCCTTTCTCCTCTAATTCTTGGAATCGCTTTCCTCTTCCCTCAAGTTGGTGGACTCCACCTTTGTCACAAATATGGATCTAGCGAAAGGGAATGTCTCTCAAATACTTGGAGTAGTGTGTCTTCACTTTGATGGGCCAATGGAAGCACTTCAAGCATTCCTCAAAACAGAAGTTCAACCGGGGACCAAGAGTAAGGGTCGAGGTAGCAGGGAGCTTTCCAATCGGGCTTGCAGCATCAACTACGACAGTGCTCCTTCCACTCTCCTTCATTGGCCCTTCTCGAGGCCCCGACACTTCCGGTCTGTCCCTCTACTAGATGCTCTTCCAGACCTGAGCCCCACCCCAACAATGATTATCCTTTCCTAAAACTTAAGGGGTCTGAGACTTTGAGCAGCCCCATGAAACGTGGTGCTGTTAGAGACTATTCTGTCTGCCATCCCCTCAATCTTAGCCCTCACTGAAACAAAGAAACCTTATCGTACTCTCCAACAAGTCAGGCGGCTTTGGGGTCGTCAACCCTGCCAATGGGAAGCCTTCCTGGCTGTGGGAGCCTTGGGAGGTATTTGGGTCATTGGAGCCCCTCATGGCTGTCCCTTACGGCATCTTACGTCGCCACATTCTCGGTGACTATAGCACTGTCGAGGAATTCTGATGGACTCCCGTGCAAATTTACGGCAGTTTATGGCCCCAATTCCGACAGTCTCAGGAATCATTTTTGGGAAGAATTAAATCAGGTGCTTGGGTGCAGATTTCAACACTATGAGATGGTCGTTTGAATGCAACGCTCTCTCCAGAATGACCTCGGCAATGATCCAGTTTTCAGAGTTCTTCTCTAGCCTCAACCTCATTGACATCCCCCTCAAAGGAGCAAGGTTTACATGGCCCAATCATTCTTCCTCCCCTCTCTCTCAAAACTAGATCGATTTGTCTTCCTTGCTGAATGGGATGCCTCCTTCCCAGGATCCCATGCTAAGGCCCTCCCCAAACCCACCTCAGATCATTGCCCTCTCATTCTCAACACACAACCTGTTCTTAGGGGCCCAAACCATTTTGGTTTGAACTGGCCTGGTTAGAAGGACCTAAGTTCCTTCACCTTTTACCCCTTTGGTGGAATTCCTTTGCTCCTCTCATCTCAGGCAGGGCTGGATTTCGCCTCTAGTGCAAGATCCAACTGCACAAACACACCATGAAAGATTAGAGCAAACAGCTCCCAGGCAACTTCCAATCTCGCAAAGCTTCTATATACGGGTCATCCAGGAGTGGGGATGAACTTGAAGAACAATGAACCCTTACTGGCAAAGAGAGACAACAAAGAGTCCAGGTGAAATTAGATTACCAAACCACCCTCAAACAGGAGGAAACTTTTTGGTACCAACGATCTCGGGGCAAGTGGCTAAAGCTAGGGGATCTCAATACTTCGTTCTTTCACAAGATTGCAAATTGTAGGAAGTGCACCAATTCCATCTCACAGATCAAGGTTGACAATGTAATCTTGGACCAACCTGCTGAGGTGGATGAGGTCATCCTTAATTTCTTCAAACAATTGTTCACTGCCCCCTCAGGGCCTAAACCCACCACGGGTGACATCTCCTTCTCTCCCTGACCCTAGAGAAGTCAGCTTGGCTCGAACACCCATTTCAGGAAGAAGAGATCCTTAAGGCCACCTATGATTTGGGCCAAGACTATTCTCCCGGTCCCGACGACTTCCCAATAGCCTTCTTCAATCATTTCTGGACCTCCATTCGAGAGTAACTTCTGGCCTTCTTAAGAGAATTCTTCAAGAGGGCTATTCTTCATAAAGCTCTCAATGCAATATTCATAGTATTGATCCCCGAAGAATTGAAGGATTTCCACCCTATCAGTTTAATCAATAGCTCATACAAGATGCTCTCAAAGGTGCTTGCCTCTCGCTTTCGTGAGGTTTTAGGCTTGGTCATTTCCCGGCAGCAAGGGTCTTTTGTAAAAGACCACCATATTTTGGACAATGCCTTCATAGCCCATGAAAGTATTCACTCAAGGCATCTGTCGAAATTGCCTGGACTAGTTGTTATACTTGACTGGGAGAAGGCCTACAATCACGTAGATGGGGCACTCCTTGATGATACCTTAGTTCGTATGGGTTTTGGCAACCAGTGGAGGAAGTGGATCCGTGGGTTCATTTCAACACTACACCTTTCAGCCTTGATCAACAGGTCTCCCAAGGGATTCTTCCCAGCCTCGAGAGGCCTCCACTAGGGGGATCCTCTCTCCCCTTCTTTTTTGCGATAGTGGCTGAAGTGTTCAGCCATTCTATCAGTTCATGCTTCCATTCAGGCATGCTTCATGGCTTTTCCATAGGAGCCCACAGACCTACTATTACCCACCTTCAGTACACAGATGACATTTTGGTCTTCTGCAAAGCCTCTTCCCAGGAGGTAGACTCCCTTCTCCTCATTCTCAAATGCTTTGAGTGGGCCACTGGATTCAAAGTAAATATGCATAAATTCAAGATGATTTGGGTGGCTCTCAACCCACTAACCATCCAGCAGTTCACTGAAAGATGGGGATGCCAACCTGAATGCCTACCCTCAACCTACCTAGGTTTCCCTTGTGCCTCGGTAAGCCTAAATAGAGCCTTTGGGCCCATATTATAGACAAGTTTGACAGAAAATTGGCCACTTGGAAAGGCTGTTTTTTGTCCCCAGCAGGCAGAGTCACCCTACTCAAGGCTACCCTCTCCAACATGCCCATCTATCAAATGTCACTCTTCCAAATGCCGGTGTTTGTTAGCTCTTGCCTCAAACAACTTATGTGCAATTTTTTGTAGGCTAGGGACGACAATAGGCATAGATTTCACTTGACTTCTTGGGAAAAAATTAACCTACCTCTCCAATAAGGGGGCCTTGGGATCTGTAGTTTCAAAAAAACTTAGCTCTACTGGGAAAGTGGTGGTGGCGCTTCGCCACTCAAGAGGGACGTATGTGGAAGCAAGTCATTACTTACAAATATCACCTCGACCAATCTTCTTGGCTACCGGATTACCGGGCTAATTGTAGAGCCTCTGGCATTTGGAAATCCCTTCTCAGCGTCCTCAAACTCTTCAAAGGTAACATCAGATTCCAACCGAGGAGGGGATCAAGAATCGGATTTTGGCTCGACCACTGGCTAAACCAAAACCCTTTGAAAGACCTCTTTCCTGCCTTATTCCTCTAGCCCTCAACCGCCAAGCTACTGTTGAAGAACTCTTCTCATTAAAGACTGTCAGAACTTGGAGCCCCAACCTTAGAACATCCCCCTCTGACCTCGAACTTCAGGAATTCCTAGACCTTTCATCCCTTCTCAGCCCCATATTTCTTTCCACCTCCAGTGAAGACAAGATAATCTGGTGCCCTGCCCCTTCGGGGACATTCACAATCGCCTCCTACTACCAAAAACTCATCAAACCACCCACTTTTCCCCATGCTTCTCCTTCCATAGTGGCTAAAGCGTGGTCTTCCTTTGCTCCCTCAAAAATCCAAGTCTTTAACTGGATTGCACTTTCCCAGAGAGCTTTAACGGTTGATGAATTGTAGAAGCGAGGCATGACTTTACCCAATTGCTGCGCAATGTGCCTAGAAGCGAAGAAACAAACCCCCATCTTTTCATCCATTGCCCTATAGCTCACTACCTCTGGGGTGCCTTAATCCAACTCTTTCAATGGCAATGGGTGACCCCCAAAACCATTCCCCTCCTCTTCTCCTCCTTCCACCCCTATCCCTGACCTTCTTCAGGCATTCTATTCTGGAAGGCCTCCACGGTAGCCCTCCTCTGGGAGATCTGAAAAGAATGCAATAATCGAATATTCCGTGGACAGTATTCCACCACTGCCGCTCCGTTCGATCGGATTAAATCCACGGTAATCTTCTGAGCTGCTACACAAGTGTTTCAAACGCTTTTGCCCCTTCGGCATTCCACCTCCATTGGCATGACCTACTCTTTATGACCAAACAGATCATTTCCTCGAGCCTTTTTGTGGAGACCACCTGAACCAGGCTATGTAGAACTCAATTTCGACGGTTACTCCCTAGGCAACCCAGGTCCTGCAAGCATCAGAGGCCTCTTTAGGGACCACGAAGGGTCGACTTTGGCTTCCTTCTCAAAGTACATAGGCCATTCATACTCTCAAACCGCGGAAGCCCCAGCCTTACTCGAGCGTCTCAAATTGTTCGATAGGTCCTGGAGCCAATCACTGATAGTTGAAGGTGACTCCAACAATGTCATATCATGGCTTCTGGTTTGGCCAATTGTCCCTGGCCTCTGATCCACATTTTTGATGAAATTTCTCACGTGAGTAGAGGACTCACGATTACTTGGAAACACATATATCTCTAGAGTAACTCAGAAGCAGACTCTCTCGCCAAGGCTGGTGCTTCAAATGTTATCGACTAAGCATTTTTTGCGAACTCAGTCAAATCCCCATCCTGGGGCTCCTGTCCTCCAGGGGTATTTTTGTATAGAGCTCCCTGATAGAGGGTAGCCTTTTTTTGTTGTACATAACCCCTGTTTTCTCCAGGCGGTCCAATTTTGTACTCTTATTTTCTCTAATCAATATAATTGTCAACTTTTCCCCAAAAAAAAATATAAGGTAAGGATAATAACTGCCCTATGAATGTTGAGCAGGTTAAGAGGATACTCCTTTCTCTCCTCCACATACACACATATGGGTGTGTTTTAGGTGGTCAGCCCGACCACCTTCAAGTCATGGTTGGGCCTTGTTAGGGGGATTTTTTTTTCCTGAAAAATTTCAAATTATTTGTTGCCAACCCTAAAATCAATTCCAAAAACAGATAAAAAAACTATGATTTAGACTTTGGAGCTCAAAAAATGCTCTAAATCAATTCCACCTCAAAGGCGCTCTCTGAACCTGTCCATTTGAGCAAATATGATAAATCTAGGTTGGAAAAGCTCAACTTTTTTTTTTTTGAATTATTCGCAAGGTGAGTTAAAGGATATCTGCAAAATTTCGAACTAAAAAAAATTCTCTCATGTTTTTTGAGGGCTAGATGACCTAACTTGGTGGTCAGACTAAACATCATAATCTTTTTCCTGTATATATAATTTGGTGTTAATTTGATGTGGCCTTCAAAAGGTCTACATCTTTGAGATATATTTTACATTTACCAAGCCATGCAGGACAACTTACCTTGCAGGATCAAATTCAAAATCAGGCTGGTCTGATCATGTCACCGTGCAGTTATTATGATTGTGGGTTTTGTTTTGACCATCTCTAATCTACCTTCCTTCCTGTGACAGGTTAACCAAGGCTTAACTGTATATGGAAACAAAGGGAGCACTGATCAACATGCGTAGGTCTTTCTCATAAGGATTTTTTTTATTGTCACTGGTAAAAATGGTTAGTTTTTCTAATATTTGCTGCACCCTGCTTCCAGCTACATTCAACAACTGAGGGATGGAGTGCACAACTTTTTCGTGACCTTCATTGAGGTTTTACGTGATAGGCCACCTGGTCATGATTGGGAACTTGAACCAGGTGTTACCTGCGGTGATTATCTTTTCGGTATGCTTCAGGTGAGTGATTTCATATCATTTATATATTTATTTACTTATTGTGTTACTGTATTACCATTACTTCTGTTCTTGATGTACATTTAAACCCGAAATCGACACTTATTGATTAGAAATAACTAACATCACCCAAGATTAAATTTATTCACCTATTGTATGTCTCCTCTGGATGCATTGTTCTGTGTGACCATGCGCCTACGGGCCTTTCTGTTCTTTCTCTGACATGTTTGTAGCTCCATAAAACTTCGATAATCAAGTTCTCTTGAAGTATCTGCTGGAAACAGTACATGTGCACTGTTATGGCAAGGATTACCTGACCGGATTTCTGGTTTCATGTTGATTATATGGTACTTGTAGCATCACATATGGGCACTATAAGTGAACATTGCAGATTCATAAAAATTAGAATGTAATATTTTCATCTGTCTCTTTCAATGAGCATGCCTCAGCAAATGAAATGTGGCAAGGGAATGAGGAACACCTCTATGATTATCCTTTTTCCTAATGGAACTTTTACACACTACCAAAAAAAAAGGCCTTTTACACCAGCCCTATATTGGAAGGGTATATGCCATACCAATGTTTTAAAAAGCAGATCAGTGGGTCGAACCCGTGAAACACCGGTCCAAGCTGACTCAGCAAGTAGGTGCTGTTGGAAGAAAAAATTGACAAAAAAGAAATATAATAAATTAAAAAATGATAACAAGTAAAAAGAAAGAATATCAAGAATAAAAAAAAAACTCAAAATCTGCCACTTTTGGGCTGGATTTGAATAGAAATCCAGCCCAAAAATGAAGGATTTCAAATCTGCTAAAGAAAAACAAGTTTTTCTTAAAAAAAAATAAAAAAGGCTTTCTTTTGGATCTGAAAGCATATCTGCCATTTTTTGGATTGGATTTCAAGACAAATCCAGCCCATAACTGGCAGATTTCAAATCCGCCCGAGAACAACCAAAAAAATAAAACCTTTTTTTCTAAAAAAACCAAAAGCCAAGCTTTTCTGCAGGAAAAAATTTCAATCTACTAAAATATCATTCAAATTCTGCAATACCTATTTTAGATTTAATATAAGACTGTCTACAGCAAAAAAAGCCTAACAAAATCTGGGGAAAAAAAGCAAATATATGATCCTTTCTGAAATCCGAGGGTTCTGTTAGTAAAAATAAACCTGCCACTTTTGACTTTAGATCTCTTCAAGCAAGGTTTTTTATCGTAGAAATTGTATTGCATATTTTTTAGAGAGCCCCATTGTGGATTTGTTTACCCAACTTTCATGAATTTTTGGTTAAGAAAATTGGGGAATCAAAGAAATGGCAGATCTTGGATTTTGAGCTCAAAAATGGCAAGTTTTTTATCTCTCAATGCTAATGAAAATATGTTTTGATTGATCCTAAAATTGTTTTAGGGCTATCAATGAACGAAAAGTCGACCGCCTGGCTGCCTAGGTGGACTTTTTGGAAAAACACCCAGGCGTGTTCTAGGTGGACACTATTAGACGGAATAAGTTAGGCGCCTGCCTAGGTGGCCAAGGCGCCGTCTCGAACTTGGCAGAAAAAAAAATTCAGGAGAGGGCAAAAAATGTAATTTTACCCCCTTAAAAGGGGGTATAAAGGTTTGGGAGCCATTCTTGCCCCCCAAAACAATTTTAGTGAACTTTAGAGTAAGAAACAACTTGAAGAAAACTATATTTGAAGTTTTTTTGAGAGATTGAAATTTTATTTAAAATCCTCGAATGTTCACGATATTAAAGGATATTCATCCCCAATCTTTTGGAGGCTTAGAAGGGCTGTAAAAGGAGGAGATTTGGGATCCCAAACATTTCGGTTTGACCCGAAATCAAGTGCATTTCAAGAAGGTTGGTACATTTCAATAGTTGTCATTAGGTTTTGTATTTTTTTTTCCCCTTAATGTCTAATGATGTTATTATTTGCTATTTGTATTTTTTTTGTATACTTTGTGATATATATTTAATATGTTATTGTGTATTTGGATTATTATTTTCCTATTTGGATATCTGGTTTGTGTCTTTGGGAAAACAATTTAATAAAAATGTCCATTGCCTCCAAACCAAATGAATATTGTTTTTTACTTCTTTTTTTTAGTTTTATACCATGAATTTACTTGTATGATTCATAAACCATTATTCATTTACAATCTAAAGTCGTGAATGTTTATTTGATCTGTGCTTCTGGCATCTTAACAATATATTATATAAAATAAAATGGGGGGAAGTGTGGGGGATCCAAATTTTTTTTTTAAGAAAAAAAAAAAAAAAAAAGACAATAAAAAAACAAAAAAAACACAAGCCGCCTTTGGGTCTGGGCACCCGCCTTAGTGCCTAGGCAGCCCAGACCCCACACTGCCTAGGCGGCTGCCTCTGCCTTCTTGAACATTGACGGCTATTGTAGATCACTAAAAGATGATCGATTTGTGACATTTTGAGAGTATTTTGTGAAGAAACAAGAGAGAAATCAAATTTTTTATTTTCGGTTTTATAAAGCAAAAATAATAAAGAAAAAGAGCGGTACACCCAATTCTTGGGGATTCGGGCTAGTCCTGAACCGACTTGGGTGATTCCGAGTCAGCTCTGCAATTTTTGAATCATTGCGCTATGCAAATTACAACTGGGTATGTCCACAAAAAAGATAGGAACTGAAACTGATAACTTTATTGTTGAAATTATACTTTGTTAATTGCTTGATTTAATGCCTTGAGTCATGCAGGGTACTAGATCAGCTCTTTATGCAAACAACCGGGAGTCTATCTCAGTCACAGTGCAAGAAGTGACACCCAGATCAGTGGGAGCACTAATAGCACTCTACGAGCGAGCAGTTGGAATCTATGCTAACCTGATCAACATTAATGCATACCACCAGCCTGGTATATATGCTACATCTCTGTGTGTGCTCGTGCTCGCTGTGTCTAATACTCTTAGCAATTGTCAGTTTCATAATTTTATTGTAACTTCAGTAGTGTCTGATTTTTTTTTTTGTTTTCATTTTCGATCTCCTTGTATTTCAGGGGTTGAAGCCGGCAAAAAGGCAGCTGGGGAAGTATTAGGTCTTCAGAAGAGAATTTTGTCTGTTTTAAATGAGGCCAGGTAACTTTTATATGGATTAAATTGTCTGAGTAGATTGCTACAAAATATTTAGTTGCATATATATTAGTATGTTTTAGCATGAGAATTTTCAGATGTTGAGATTGTGGTCAATCACCTGTTTTGGTTTTCTTTTCTGAAGGATAACATATTGTAATGCACCATTACTAAAAAATTGGCTTAAATATGCACAAAAGTAGCATACTTGAAACTAATGATACCTGAATATTTTAGCAAAAGAACTTAATAATCTTGTATCCAAAAAATGGAAAAAATGTCTCGTATTTGTTTTTCTTTGTTAGTGTGAAAAAACAGGCAACAATCCCCAAGTTGCATCCAGCTAAAAACCAAACCTGGGAAGAACCATTGTTGCTGCAATTGGTTTCTCATTGGATCCTAACTAATAAGCAGTTGCAATTCATGACTTTGATCGATCATCTATACGTGATGCTGGACGCTGTACCCTATGGAGTCACAACTATCCCCCAGTTGCATCCAGCTAAAAATCAAACCTGGGAAAAACCACTGTTGCCGCAATTGGTTTCTCATTGGATCCTAACTAATAAGCAGTTGCAATTCATGATTTTGAACGATCATCTATACGTGATGCTCGACGTTGTACCCTATGGAGTCAAAATTGCCCCATATGGTCAAATATCAGCAATCTTGAGGTCTATACGGCTGTTACATGTTGGGATGAGTGCCAATATCTTCTTTTTGAAATTTGAGAAAAGCAGGTAATGTAAACTCAGTTGTATACCTTTTTCTGAAAAACGGCCCTTTTATATGCATTGTTTCCTTGGACATATTAACCCATAGTTGGATTCGGGAGCGGTATCAGGATCGGTTTGAAAAACGCTGAACCCAAGAGGGTGGAAGCTCCCTAGGGTTAGGGTCGGCGTCCGTACATTCAACATGTTAAAGAGCTATAGATCCTAGGATACCTGGGAGGGGGATCCCATGTGGGATCGAGGTTTTGACTTGGAAGGTCTTAAAATGAGATCAATTAATTGTATAAGATAGAGCTTTTCCTTATGATGCACCTTAGCTTATTATCAATGCTGTAGTTATAGTACTCCAATTTACTACAATAACGCAGTTTAATAATATCATAAATTGGCTTACTATAATATTAACATATGGTCTTTTAATACCATAATTCTAGTACACCACAATTTGATATGCATCATAGTTTAACATATTTTAAAGAAATAAATTTATAATACAAAGGAGAAGACCATTTATTCATTAATAGTATATCTCCTCTCTTTCGAGGGATCCTACAAACATGTAGACCAAGATCCCATTTTATAGGGAGCGAGATCCCTATTTCTCTAAACCCAGCTCCCTCTAAGATCCCTCAAAGGAACCACGGGATTGAGTTCCTAAGGTGAGACCGTGGCCTTAACCCCAAGGTTCCCACAATTATGGTACCACTGTTATATCCATTATAACATCTGTTGTATATGATATTTTCCAAATAATGCCGGTTAAATTTTTATTTTTGAGAAATGATTACTAGTTTGTTCTTCTGTTTTAAACTTCTATATATTGGCTGCTACTGTATTATATAGGAGCCAGCCCTGACCACTACTAACATTTAAACTAGCATTATCAACCTCGCTCTTAATGCTCTTATCATAATGATGTCTTCCTCTTCAGCTGTAAAGAACCTGTGGAGCCCTTGACATTGGATGAGATTGCACAGCGTTGCCATGCGCCTGAACAAGTAAGTTTTACTGCATGCAAAATCTCTCTCACAACCCCCCCCCCCCCC